CACACACACACACACACACACACAGAGAATAGGCCCACAGATGCAGACATGAAAGGATATGCCCCACACATACTCCTGACCAGGTGGCAATTCAAAAAAAAAAAAAAAACACTGAAAAGGTTGAGCAGTGGAGAGCAGAGTTGCACGAGACTGGAGAACGGAGACTGAGGGAAAAGAGAATGCGGCAATTCGAAAAAAATAAAAATAAAGAAAAGGGAGGGAGAGGTAGAAGGAAAAAAATAATAATGGGGGCGTAGAGAGAACCATACATTTCCATCGGATCCAAGTGTGAACACGCTCGTGTGATTGTAACCGAAGCGCACACAGCTAGCAGCACATGACCTGTGAGCCGTCCAGCTGGTAATTAGCGAGCATGAGCTCATATCTTTCAACAAGGATAACTTTTGTTAAGTCCATCTGTCTCCAAATTGGTCACCACTCATAATAAACAGGTGGTTCATTCAGATTGCCGAGCAAGTACGAGATTCCCTGAAACAGAGCAGGCAATAATCGCATCTCATCTCATCTCCAAAACACACACACACACACACACACACACACACACACACACACACACACACACACACACACACACACACACACTTACTTTCAGGTTTGCCTTTAAAAAAAAAGGTTCGCCTTTTCAGACCTTGTCCACTTCAATCAAGCAAACGTTTTTTTTTTTGCTTTTTTTTTCCCCCTTCTTCAACCAAAGTTAGCAAACAGTATTCAACACACTGCACTTTGCTTCTTCTTGACACTCCGAACTTTTGCATTAGCGCCTCCTCCTCGTGGATCCCAACTTTGTAAACACCCCCCTGCAGAAAGATGAACATGGCCCCAGGCTTAAAGCCTTAAAAACCAGTACATCATACATAGGCCCGCGGGTGTCATCGTGGAACCTGCACCACTTCGGAGGCCGCGGTTTTACGGAACGTCGGCGCCTCACACAATGGAAAAGGATACCAAAAAGCCTTATCAGTCCATCCGTAGCAGCAGTCGCAAGGATCTTCCCATTGTGATTGTAGCACAGAGACAACACGAGCGATGGTTCTTCACCCAAGACAAGAGTGTTCTGGTACCCACCAACACAAGATCAAACCCACAGCACACACAATCAACAATATCCGATGTAAGTCGTAACTTCTTTTAACCCTTTTTTTTTTTTTTTAAGTTCTTACACTACACATCTCTGAAATCAACCCCAAGCCCACGCGACAAGCTCGACTACCTCCACATTGTTCCATGGAGGGCCAAGCAGAATTTGGTTGTAGACCACTTAACTCTCTACTTGCCAGCCTTTTTTTTTTTTTTTTTTTGGTCAACTTATCATCACTGATGAGGATAAAAAAGCTGAAGGATGCCAACAATGCTAAAAAAGCTACAGAATGCCAGCATCGGCCCAGCAATGCTGACGAGCTCTGCGATAGGAGGAGGAGAGCGCCCTGAAGCACCGAGATTTCTCGCTGGGCTTGTTGGCCCTATACTTTACCGGGTTCAGGCCTCATAACGAAAGCTTGAGCCAGGACCCACTGGCGATATGTCCAGGCTATGAATGCATGAACCTGACCGCTATTAAGGCAAGTTTCATGCTTGGAAAACTTGAACATAGCACAAGTGGGGCCTGCACCTCTTTGTTAGTACTGGAAGAGACCTACCAGAGCATTCGGTAGCTATGGGCCCAGGGGCACTTTTCCTTGTCCACACAACATGCCCCCAAACAAAAGCACAAAACCAAAAACAAACCTGCTTAATCAAGGGCACCACAAATTCTTCCTTTTTTTTCCTGTGGGGTGCGTGGGTTGAGGGGGGGAGGGGAGGGCACCAAAAACTCTATTTTCATCTGTGCACAAAGTTTAAGAGGATTCCCGCAACTAATTGCTGGATATTGTTACAATCCTGGCCAATTTCGAAGTGCAAAATTCACGAGAAAGCACAATGCCGTCCAATTGCAAAAGAAATGAATGAACTTGAGAGGAGGGAGAGATGAAGAAGAAGAAGAAAAAGAAAAGAAAAGAAGAAGAAGAAGAAGAAGAAGAAGAAGAAGAAGAAGAAGAAAGAAAGAAAGAAAGAAAGAAGAAGAAGATGTACACCAGCAAAAGACGAATGGTAATCCCTCTCCTTCTCGCCAACCAAACTCCTCCTTTTCTTCTTCCCTCTTATTCAAGCAATAAACAATAATAGTGATGATGAATGGCAGAACCAGAATCAATGTCCGAATCCCACTTCTACTGTTTGGCATCACTAGAGGTCCACCATAGCCATGGCTTCCATCTTCTTCCTCCTCAAACAGGCCGAGGTTATGCCGAACTACTACTAAGGGCCTAGCCCTGCTGCACAAAAGACAACGCAAAGCAGCTATGTCCGCTGCTTCTTAGGCTGTCATGCCTGAATCTTTCTTGAAGCCTTCTTGGTGCGGCCCAACCCCACTGCGGCCTTCCAGATACAGCTCCTAACAAGGTGGTGAAGATGGCGTCCACCATAGCCACGTAGGTACCTGGCCACTCTCCTCCCTAGTCCTCTTCTCCCTCCTCCTCCTACCAGTAGAGCTCCACCATAGCCGAAGTCGAAGCTCCCGGCCTTCTTCCTCCTCCCAGCGCTGTAATGCCCAGCGCTCTACCTCCTGGCAGTGCCCTGAAGTCCAGCGCACGCTCAAGCAGCATGACGTCCAAACTTGCACACTGCAAAGGAGGTAGAGCCGAGAGCTCTCCCTGAAGATACAGCGGCCTACCTGCCTCTTGGGCGGTGACTTCCAGGCCGCGCGGCCTCCAAGCAACCGGTACCTCCTCCCTTTCGGAGGGAAACATCATTGCGGGCTCTGATATCGTTGGCCCTAGATGCAGGCTACTTGGACTGGTACCCGCATGGACCTAGCCTACCAACTACTGGGCCTCTAAAAATGCCAACTTTTGTCTTCTTCTGCTCCGCCTCCAGTTCGCAACACATCTCCCACTACTTGAGTGGCACCGGCCTACCTACTACTTGAGTGTTTTCCCCCGCTGCAACCCTCAAATTCATGGCCACAGGTAAGTACCGGCCCTGCAGGGCCGCCAAACAAACAAGTGCCCTTGCGGGTCACAGACACACTCAGGCCGACAAGCACTCAGACAGGCACGCAGACCACCAACCACACACACACACACACACACACACAGACTTAGAAAACTCAGCAGAAAGCGGGAATTTCAGCAAGGCATTCATTCCGGCGGCAAAACTCAGAAATCAGCTGTGTTCTCAGTCTTTGTTTTGACGGGCCATTACAATATTAAACTCTGAAAAGAAAAAGAAAAGAGTGGGCCTACTTTTGGTCTCAGGAGTTCAGAATCCAATCTGTTTTAAAGGACCCCCTCTTTACTATTTACTATTTACTATTTACTATTTACTATTGACCTGCCAGCAATAAAAGGTACTCATGGTTTGGAGAAAGGATCATAAAGCAAGAGCAAGAAGCAGGTGTGAAAAGGGACCCAGAGTACAGAGGAAAAGAGAAGAAAGATACCAAACACACAAAGAGATGCCTCCAGAGTGCTGTGCTTCAAAACCTTAGCGGACGCCATCACTGAACAGGACAAGAAGGGATAGCAAGCGAGCAGCAGTCGAGCTGTGTGCTTGAAATGGCAATGCAGACTGATAAAAAACATACGTTTGAAATTGGAGCGATACAGAGAAGATTAACATGGCCCCTGCGCAAGGATGGCATGCACACATCAAGAACCGGTAGAAAGCATAAAACCAAAAAAAAAAAAAAAAAAAAAAAAAAAAAAAGTTTGCAGACGGCGGCCGCACATAATGGGGACTGAATCAAAGCAGCGGCAATCATGAAGAGAAACATGTCCACATGATATCTGAATACACAATCTTGCGAGACAGTAAAGGGAAGTGGGGAGCACACAGATGAAGAAATGAACAGCCAGACAGACACACACACAGACAGGTAGGAGTGCAGACGAACAAACCAACACACAGACAGGCAGACAAGCGAAACAATGGAATGGTACGTGGGATCAGATGGAGACACCTACAAGGATCTTCCAGACTCTCATGTTCCAAATGGCCACAGTGCCTTTAGGGTGATCAACGCTGTCAACTTGACTTCCGCTCATGGCACTTCCGTAACTGCTGGGTGCATTCCTGCTGCATCAACATGCACATGCCGAAACACAAGGCAGGCAGAACGAAGTGAAAAACTTCAAGCTCCCAAAACAGCACCCCCCTGATCCAGAGTGGTCCTCAGAGATCCTCCCAAGAAAACAGAGAGGGAGAGAGAGTCTGGGGGGGGAGAGAGAGAGAGAGAGAGAGAGAGAGAGAGAGAGAGAGAGAGAGAGAGAGAGAGAGAGAGAGAGAGAGAGAGAGAGAGAGAGAGAGAGAGAGAGGTGCACCAAGGGAGAGACAGAGTCAGAGAGGCATAAAAAATGTGCAAAGTGACAGGGATGTTTGCAAGTCTAGGCTACCACTTATGTAGAACGAGTTTCAATGGTTTAGTCTCAGAGAGGGTCTCCAAAAGGTACTAGAACATAAACCAACTGTTCTAGTAAGGATTCGAGAATAAAGCTACGAAAAAAAAGGAAGTAATAATTCACATGTCGGCGATGTCGCAGAACTCCATAGTCTGAGCAGGTACCTCTCCTTCAATTTCCATTTCAATTTCCATGTTCACTTTCTTGCCCTTTTTTCGTTCAGTAGATCGTGATGATTCCGTGATAGCCAAAATCCCATACTGCGACCAGTGTGAAGATAATGGCAGCATGCAGCCCGAAAGGGACCTCAGGGTTTCAGGTCTGCCCTCCATATTGCTGAGGCTTCGTTCCGTTGGTTGGAAACTTGGCCTCCTAGCCGCCAGGGCCAGCATATCATTATAAAACGCGAAGAGTTCAGGCCCATGGGAGGCCCAGAAAAATCCCACGTCCTATTCAGGCAAGACTTGACTCAAAAAATTCGGCGTTTCACGGCCTCCATGCACCTTCACCCATGGTTGGGATCCACTAACGCTCACTAAAGTGACTGGCAGATTAACCCCTACAAAGTGTCTTCTCCTTCTCCTTCTCCTTCCCTTCCCTCCCTGAGACTCCCCCCCCCTCTCTCTCCCTGAGGCCCCCCCCCCCCCCCCCCTCCACCAACTCTGGCGAGCCTCAAGTTATATCGCCTTTACCATCCATCCGTTCCTGTGCTTGAAGCAAACTCCATACCAAGCGAAAGGAACGATTTAAGCCACCAATACTTCCTAAAGTCGTGGCCGTGACTAACAAGCCACAACAATTACGAGCGAAGGGGTCCATACATTGGCACGTCAATTCATCTCAGTAGAAGCGCTTCTACTCTATTTTTTTTCCGCGGCCGATGTATGGGCCCAGTACTGGTGGTTTAAATGAAATGACATAGCATGTACAGCATATGAGGTATTAGGTTGCAAGCTTTAAACAACAACAGAGTAACGAGTCAACACGTAAAATGCGACAACCGGTATAGGAGAACCTGATTCCCTAGTGAAATGCATAATCCGAAAACAGCTTCAGTCCCGTTGTCTGTACCTCGTCTCTCCAATTACAATAACCACTTCTTATGAGTCAAATACACAAGGCATACATGCCTATTGCCCACAGCGCCGCGTCAGAGTGTCATTTTTAGTAAACTGTGGTTTCGGATGTGACAGCTGGAAGACGTGGGATAGGCTGGTTATGAACCCAACTGGATTGTCTGTGAACCGCACGATAGAGAAATCATAACATAATAATGGGGCCAATTCGCCAAATATCTAATCGAGCGTCTAGCCACATACAATACAACACAGTCAAGCAAACACCGAGAAGCAGTTTTTTTATCTCACCTTGCCGATGAGGTCGCACACGAAAATGCTGCATCAGTTGGGCTACCCTTGATGTCAACAACTCTGTCTTGCCATAAATTGTCGCAAGGGATGTTTTGGTCCATCCATCGCCAGACGCATAGTTGGATAGACACATGGGTGGGCATACATAGACAGAACCACAAGCACAACACACACACTCAGCCGCAACGTGCCAAGCATGCACACAATCTTGCACACACACACACACACACACACACACACACACACACACACACACACACACACGCACACGCATACACACACATGCACACACACAAATTCATCACACACAGAAAAACACAAACTTGAAACATCAGTATTTACATGTAGATTCACAAAGCTCAATCTCACAGCTCTAGTAACCCAGCCGTGCTGCGAAGTTTGGTGGGGCTCTGAGGTGTGTGGGCATGTGTGCATGCATAGTACTGCATACTCATCGTGTGTGCATACATTGCAGACTGCTAGGAAGATCAAGCGTGTCATGTATTCGTGGATCATCACCTCTCAACCCCACGAAAAGGGTGACAGTGACAAACTGTTTGATTTGACTTTGACCGACTTTCGGGAGGCTGGATCACGTCATTCTTCCCAGGGTGCATTTGACTGATGGATAAGAACTTACCACCTTGCCCAAAGTTTGCGATACCCTTGAGAAAATTGGCTGACTTCACTCACACAAAAGTGTGTGTGTTAGGGCATCTAGATGTGTATAAGAGACAGGAATAGGCCCACACACACACACACACACACACACACACACACACACAGAGAATAGGCCCACACACACGCACACACACACACACACACACACACACAGAATAGGCCCCCCCCCACACACGCACACACACACACACATACACACACACACACGCACACACACACACACATACACACACACACACACACAGAATAAGCCCACACACACACATGTGAAACGGTTTCACCCAGTCACCCGACAGTTGCAGACATTAGGTCTCGATCCCTACACCTACCCCGTGACCCTGTGTGAGATTTGAACCCACGACCTGTTCCTAAATCCCGTAGGTTAGTCAGTCAGCATGTTAGTCTGTCGTAGGTCTTGATCCATAGGTCTTCGTGTTAGCAGTCCAGTCTGTTACCGTTAGGCTTAGTTAGGGCCCTTCTGGAAGCCTCTACCCGTAGGTCCTATAAGGCCGTAGGCTCCACTTGCCGTGTCTGAGTCAGCAAGGTGGCAGTCCACCTCGTCCAGTCAGCAAGTACCAGGGTGCAATCATACTCGACTTCTTCACACTTGTCATCCATGCAAACAGCGAAACAACAAACTGGCGACATGCGCCCACACAGTACTCAAAGATATCGTAACCAGGTAAGAGTTCTCTTCAAACTGGCTATGGCGACTGAGCGCCCACACAACTCACTGTTCGCACTCTGGATCACCCTGGATGTCCCACACGCACACTCAGTGTTCATACCCNGGGGGGGGGGGGTAGACTATCACCAGAACAACTCCTTTTCCACCCAGATGAGTATACCCAAGATTGAAACATAGGTGATATTTCAAATGATTGCGATGTTGGATAATTGTAATGTGTTGGATTCTGAAAGGTGCGAGGAGGTCCACCACGTCTGTGTTCTTAAGCATGGGACGTGTACTCACCCGTTGCTTTCAGCACAGCTGCACCTTAATTTTGTATGTTCTTGTAGTTACGCTCATTTATATGCATGTAGCATTTCTGCACGAGGGGAGGGAGAGAAGCAAAGGGGAGGGAGAGCAGGAGGGGGAGAAAAGGAGGAAAGCGGATGGAGGAGTGGAGGAGAAGAATAGGGTAGAGAGGAACCTCATAGGGTCCTCAATACTCACTGACTGACAGAGCAGACTGCTAGAGACTGACACAAGAGGTCAGTCAGGGGTTGGCTTGCAGAGAAAAATGAGTTGAGGAAGAGCAGTGGAATTCCTCCTCTTCGTATTCTTAAACATTCTCACATCCTCTATCTCCCACCTGGTTCTGTTTACAACAACAACAAAAAAAAAAAGAACCTTATGGTTCTGGCTCCTTGTCCATTCTGGGGACCTGCTGATATTGCACATCTTCCGTGTGGTTACCTGTGTCTGAGTCTGTGTACCCGTGCTAACTGTGTTGTCCGTCGTGCTGTGTTTCTGTGCCTCAGGCAGGGGTAGAGTAGCAGTAAGCGTAGTTACAGGGACACACCCAAAAATTGTCTACAGAGGGGCTTACTGGAAATTGTAAATTTTATATGCGCGTCATCCTTGCGCCGGGGCCATGCTAATCTTCCCTGAATCGTTCCAGAAGGCTACCATCTTCACCCGATTACAACATACGGTCACCATTGCTGTACCTAGACTCAAAGTTGCCCCAAATAGAGCTAAGTTGTATTCGGGGTGAAGACGGTAGGGGTAGATGTAGAATTTGTCAGGGGCCCAGTAGAAAGTATGGTAGCTGCCCGAGGAGGTCACGATGGTCCAGGTACGAATGTAGTCAGATATCGGGTTCGATTCAGGCCCTGGAGTGGAATCTCAGACTGCGATAATGTTCCCGCCAGAAGGCAGGAATTCTCCATGAGGCCTAGTGCACCGGTAGGGCTGGTAGGCACCCGGAGCAGAGATCCCGGAGGCCCAGAGTCATATGAGTATATCGGTCACTGTGCTTGAGTGCCAGACATTCCCGGTGGCCCCCGGAGCAGAGGTCCCGGAGGCCCAGGTGAATATCTGGCTCCGCTGGGAGGGAGAGGCTGGCGGAGAAGTGAGCAGGGGAAGAGAGCTACCTGGCTATAGCAGAGGATGAGCTAGGAGAGGGAGGGCCTAAGCGTAGGAGGCAATAGTCGTAGGAGCCCATCCCGGGCTACGGAGTTAGGAGGAGGTGAGTAGAGTTTGAGAGGAGGAAGGAAGGAGGAACCCCTGAGGAAGACTTACCTCTCTCTATATGGGGGAGCTTCATCTTCAGGCCCTGCAACAGGAAGACCCCAAGAGGGGACAGGCGGTTGGCCTTTGTTGGTGTGAGAGTGGCTATGGTGGCAGGAGAAGGGAGATGCGCAGCAGACTGTTGCTTTGTCCTTCTGAACACCCGAGCATGCCAGGGATGCTCCACCATACCTACCAGCTCAGCAAGGTGTAGTATTGGGAGGCAGAACTCTGTATAAGATTATCCGGCGAACAATCCGAGATGAACGGATTTTCAAACTAATCCACTCTGCTCCCGACTACAAGCATTTTTTTCTCTTATGCCACACGGAGAGAGATTGAAGAGGCGACCATAGGGCCGCGGCCCGTCAGCCTTAGTCCCCCTACTGTCAAATATATACCTTAATGAATCCACCTTTGGTTGGTTTTCCCGACCAAAGGAGGAACGGACCTTCGGCCTCCTTTTTTGTACGCCCTTCTCCTCCTCCATGAGGATGGTCTAGACTCCACAGGATTCATAGCAACACCACGAACAACAGGTCATCGTCCTAACCATCTACTTCGCCCTGCTTTCCTAAAATTACGCTTACCATGATTCTCATTTGAAAATTGAAACAATAGTTACAGTACCAACAGTAGCTCGACATTGAGAATTTAATAATTTACAGACGCTAACACGCCTGTGGGTAACCTCAACCTGATGGTTGCCTCATGAAATTTTGAATCAGTTGAGCAAAAGTCCCTGCAGCCCGAAGGAATTTGGCACCTTGGCCTGGATTCCATTCCATATTATGAATCAAAGTACCCACCTTTCCATTTTCGTATCTGGATAGGTTTTGCGAGGATCTGGGTCCTCGGCAGGCCTAAGGGGCACCTGCTGCAGATGTGCCCGCCCTAAGTGAAGGCGGGCCTAACAAATCACGAGAGGCCCTAAGCTGTCAATTTCGTATTTGGGGTCCAGGCAATTTCGTCGGACCAGTTGGTTGAGGGAAACACATGCCAAGCAGCGAGACCTTCCACGGCCTTCCAGGCCTTTCCAAAAATGCAGGCCCTGGGCGAGAACCACAGCCTCATACACAGGCAGTTGGGAGGCCCAACCGAACGAAGGCCCAGCAGCAGCATCGGAGGCACAGCCTCCTGGTGCCTACCGGAAGATTCTGGGCGGAGGTCCAGGCCAGCCAGGCCGCCGAGAGAGGTAGGCTCTTTCCATATAGGAAAGAGCTCGCTGCCTCGCGAGGCATTCAGCACTTGCATGCTGGCGGCAGGACTGCTGGAGCGGACGCTCGTAGGCTGCTGCTGGCGCTGAGAGGCAAGGTGCTAGCGTGTGCGGTCGTGCAGGAAGCAGGGCGCTGCTGAGGGCAGCGCCATAGCCCAGCCTCCATAGCTGGATGGGCTTAGACTACAGTGAGGCGCAGGGGTGGTCTTCGGTTGTACAGAGGGAAGACATGGGGGAAGAGAGAGAAGGATGATGATGACGATGATGTGAGGGCACATATCTGGTATTGGCGATGGTCTGCATTGGGCAACATCTTCAAGTACTTCGTGGGCTGCTGACGTCAACAGTTGCATAGTCAATTAGTAGGCAGACTGTAGCTGTGTAGGAAGTCGGCTGGGCGCTGAGCGCCAGGTAGGGAGATAGGGCCTGAACATTCGTGTTGGTGGTGGCGAGAGCAAGCTCTCGTTGACATTCGTTTTCAGTGTTACGATTCTTCATCGGTGTTATATTGGTGCATTTCTGCTTTCTGGACACTGTGTATATATATATATATTGTCACATCACTACAAACTAAAAGAGCGCACTTTGCGGAACAAAGAATAAAAGCAAAAAACGGGCACAGTGATAACATGCAAAA